CCAAAACAAAACCTGGCTGTATGGAGTGCTCCTGTTCGGAATTTCAGCCAGCCATGCTCTTTTCAGGGTACTCCATTCCATTCCCCCAGTTTTACACACACAAACGCCTGTCAGTCAGCATTCTGTGTCCAATGAACACACCTGGTCCTAATTGGGTTGTCTTTCAATTCCACCCCACCCCCCGGAGGTTTATATTCTGCAAACTGACTGGCTCCCACAACCCTGCTGACCCCTCCCTATGTTCTGTATTTCAGTGACGCAGAAAAATCCCATAATTCAGAAATATGGAGAAGAGGCCCATGGGCTCTCCAGGTACGTCCTTACTGTGGAGGAGATGCGTCTCAATGATTACCCCTTGGAAGGTAAGCTCCTGTTATTGGGGAAAACAGAAACGCACATTTGCGATTACAGTTAATTTGCAGATTATTTGAAAAGTGGGGGGGTGCCGTGGTTCGGTGGTGGAGCACATGCACCGATTTCTACAAATTCTCTTAACTATTCAGTATCACCAATGGAATAAAATTAGGCAGGGTAGCTTGAGGAGGCGTTTCAGGTCAGACCCCATGACAAACCGTTGTTTATATGCTAGCTGCTGTTTAGAACCCATACTATTGTTTAAAAGTCTTTTTCTGTCATCCCCCACCTCATCGCTTACCGTTCTAGTCAGTCGTGTGGTGGCAAATTTAGAAGCGCAGAGTCCCTTCATCACAACCACGCCTTCTGAAAGCCACGTCCCTTCTACGATCATATGATCATATTATAATTATTAAGTAATCATAATTAGGGATTCATTGCAACAATCATTGCAGATATCCTTGTGCTCCCTTTCAGACAGATCTACCTTTTCTGGGCATACGTGTGGGCAAATGATTTTCAGAGTGCTCAGATATATTCTTTCAGACAGAGCTAAGTTTCATTTTCCTTGGCGTTCCATCGTACGTCACAGAACTTGCGCACCGTTCTCTTGAAATGGAAGCGCCAACCACACTGGCTCTTGCCATGTCTTTTGGAGCTGAAATACCTCCGCTTCCTTCTCTAGGCCTCAGCAACTGCAGCCATTTTGTCCGCACCTGTTGTGATGGTCCAGTGACAGACAGCAGCCCCCTCTTTGGGCTGGACTGTGAAATGGTACGTTGGCGTGACACCCCCTGACAAATAAACAAAATGAGTGTTGTGCTTTTGTTATTTTTCCTTGCTGTAGCTGAGGCTTAAACTGTGGGAGACCTTCAGCGTGAAGCGTTGCCAAGCCTTTCCTTAAAACCTCCTCAGCAACTCTGAGTACTCAAACCAGCCCTGGTCAGGAGACCCCTTTGCTTGTACTTATGTGGCAGGGGTTTGGCTGTTGTGGGGAGGAAGGCAAGGTCTCAGCCTGAACCAGTCAAGACCTTTCTTGATGTTCTTTGCTTCTCAATGTTTTCCCCAGTGCCTCACCGATAAGGGATCCGAGCTCACGCGAATCTCGGTGGTGGATGCCTGTGGTCGGTGCATTATGAATGAGCTGGTCAAGCCCAAGTTACCAATAAGAAATTACCTCACGAGGTACCCTTGTCACCCATTTATTCTGTGGGGGAGAAGGGGTACTGCAGCCTAGGTACTGCAGGGGAGTGTGTGTGTGTGTGTGTGTGTGTGTGTATCCCATAAATTGAGAGTTAGCACGTGGGACTTAGAATTGCTTCTGTTCAGGATACTCTCAGCTACCCTTTTCCCAGATGTTGCCAGACAACAGCTCCCACCAGCTGGTCAGAGATGAGGGGAATTGTACTCCAACAACACCTGGGGACCCAAGGCTGGGAAAATCTAAGCCATTCCTCCCCAAAATCCCTTTTCTGTTACCCTGCTCCCCCTTCTGTGGCCACTGAGCGTTTTTCAGACTTGATGGGACTGTTTGGATGATCCTCCCCCTGCCCATAGGGTTTTCTTTCAAGAATTGTTATATTTCTGCAAACCTTCCCACCCACCCTGCGCTCTTTCAGGGACCAGCTGAGATCCCCCTCTGCTGCCTGGCTAATGCAGATTTGGCAGTATAAGTATCGGCACTCACAGACTGATCATCAGAAATGACATACCCTTTCTGGACAAACCTACATTTCCCTCCCTGGCTGTCTGAAGCGACACAGGCCGTTCTGTGACACCCCTTCTCCCTGCAAAGGCCAGCTCTGAGCTGTTCCACAGGGAAGGTAGGATTTGGCCAGGAAAAGGAAATTTGGGATGTTTCAAATCAGATATTAAATGAAGAGGCCGCGTGAGATTCTGCGCCAAGGATTCCCACCAGAGCTTTGCCTTGAAAATGCAGCATTCCTTCAGGGGCTCTGACTACTCCTCCTCTTGTGTTTTGAAGTTACTCTGGCATCACGGAAGAGCTGCTCCTTCCCGTCACGACAACCCTCGCCGACATCCAGGTCCGGTTGAAGAAGCTGCTGCCCTCTGACGCGGTTTTAGTGGGCCACTCTTTGAATTTTGACCTTCAAGCTCTAGAAGTGAGTCTGTGAGTTTCCTTTCCTTCGACAACTCTCACTCCTCTCAGGGCTCGGACCTCTTGCGTAAAGGGCAAGGAAATTGAATCTGCATGTTTCACCTTAGAAACACAGGGAGCTATACTGAGTCAGGCTCTCTGTCCATCTAGCCGCCTAGGGACTATTATCAAGGATTGTTATTAATGCTGGGCGATATCTGTGATCTTGATATATACCAATATGTCACGACGTCTGAAATAAGGATGGAGCTGTGTTAGAGGCATTGGTTGGCTTCACGCATTTTACCCCACAATGTGATTTTTGCATAGTACATACACACACACAAACACAAATCATGATTCTCAATGTATTGCCAGGTCAAAAATTCTGAAACCAATATCATGATGTGGACTTGAAACTGGTTTTGAAAGATATATATTGCCCCTGGCTTCCAGTTCCGGTCTGCCTTAATGGAGGCAGCTCCCATGACAGTGGGAGACACCTGGAGAAGGAAAAACAGGGATGATTAAGGGTAATTATCCTTGCAAGGATATATTACCCAGCTCTAGTTGTACATAACATAACAGCTATGTTCTACCTCCATTGTGGGAGCCAGTTTGCCTCTGCATACCAGGTGCTAGGAGTTGCAGGCGGGCAGGGTGCTGTTGTTTATTGCACAAAATTTATACACCACTTATCAGAATCGTAGAGTTGGAAGGGACCCCAAGGGTCATTAATCCAACCCCCTGCAATGCAGGAATCTCAACTAAAACATCCAAGACAGATGGCCATCCAACCTCCGCTTAAAAATCTCTCAAGGGAGAAGAATCCATTACCTTCCAAGGGAGTCTGTTCCTCTGTCGAACATATCTTAACTGTTCAGAATCTTGTAACTTGGAAGCCATTGGTTATAGAAAACCTCAGAACTGCTTGCAGAAAGATAAAGCGGTAAAATCAAGGAAAAAAGTCACAACCACACTTTATAAAGAGTACAAAAGTTAAAATATTAAAACAGATTAGAATCGCCTTAACTTTCTAAGCATCTTAAGTTGGAATTTCTGAACAAGAATGTGCTTAACAGGCGTCGGAAAAAGCACAGGAAAGGCGCCTGCTTGATCTCAATAGGCAGGGAGTTCCAAAGTGCTGCCACACTAAACGATTGAGTGGGACTCAGCTACATTTGTAAAGATAAAGCGCTTTATATGTGTTATAACACTTTGACACCAGATGGTGCTGTGGAGTCCTGTTTTTTGCCAACGGGACTTCCCTGTATGAAGTTTACAACGTGTTTAACTGAATCACTTCTTGGATGCGTCTAGATCCAGCCGTGGAGGAAGGCGATCTTGAGTCGTTGGCCTTGTGTCCTGCTTGCAGGCAGATTCCCACAGGCATCTGGTTGGCTGCTGTGAGAACAGGATGGTGGACAGGATGGGCTGCTGGCCTGATACAACAGGCCGTTCTTGTTCACTATTACTATTTTTCCAGTTTGCAGGCTGCAAATCCGGGCCAGTAGCAAAAGATTGAGTTTCCTAGCCTCATTTGCGACTTAAAAATACCACCCTTTTTTGAGTATTCTAACACCCCTCTCCGCTTCTTCCAGATGGTGCATCCGAACATTATAGATACTTCTCTTCTTTTTGCCAGGAAGGGTGGCAGACGATTCAAGCTCAAATTCTTAGCAGAAGCAGTTTTAAGGTAAAGTATTTCCCCTGTCACTCATCTCCCCCAAGCTATAGAATAATAGAGCTGGAAAGGGACCGTGAGGCTCATCTAAGTCCAGCCCCCTGCAGTGCAGGAATCCTTTAGCCCAACATGAGGCTCGAACCCATGACCTTAAGACTAAGAGTCTCATGCTCTACCAACAGTTTAGGTCAGTGTATAATAAGTGAAATGCTGAGCTGCTGAATCATGAAATGCGATCATTCTAAGCAGAGGATTTTGCAACTGATTAAGGCTGGAATCCTATCAGTGCTTATCTGGGCTCAATGGGGCTCCTTCGAGTATGCACTTATATACGATCACACTGTATGTATGTATTTATTTTATTTTATTATTTTATTGAATTGAATTGAATTGAATTTATATATCTGAAGGAGCATCTCCACCCCCATCACTCAGCCCAGACATTGAGGTCCAGCTCTGAGGGCCTTCTGGCAGTTCCCTCACTGTGAGAAGCGAAGTTACAGGGAACCAGGCAGAGGGCCTTCTCGGTGGTGGCACCCACCCTGTGAAACGCCCTCCCATCAGATGTCAAAGAAGTAAACCTCAGCCCTCCAGATGTTTTCAGACTGTAATTCCCAGCATCCCTGACCACCGGTCCTGCTAGCTAGGGATCATGGGAGTTGTAGGCCAGAAACATCTGGAGGGCCGAGGTGGAGGAAGCCTGGTTTAAGGCTTTAAAGGTCAGCACCAACACTTTGAATTGCGCTTGGAAACGTACTGGGAGCCAATGTACGTCTTTTAGGACCAGTGTTATATGGTCTTGGAGGCCACTCCCAGTCACCAGTCTACTCTGACTGACAGCAGCTCCCTGGGCAGCACCAGCCCTGCTCCAGAGATACGCCAGGGATTGAACCCGAGACATTCTGCATACAGAGCACATGCTCTTATCACTGAGCTACAGCCCTTTCCCAACCTGTGAGGGGTCAGATTGTGCCAACTTCCACCCCAAGGTTTGGAAAACAGAGCAGATCCCGGAAATCACGAGGAGATTTGTCTTTGCTCTCGGCCACAAAGGGGGATTCTTTTCATGAAAGAGCCATTCTGCAAGGCAGAGTATGCTGTTACCACAGCCCTCACTGCATTGCAGCACTTAAACTTTCCACACATCTTGCTTTTCTCCTTTGCAGGAAGCAAATCCAGCGCACAGACGGAAGTGGCCACGATCCAACCGAAGATGCCAAGTGTGCCCTTGAACTGGCCCAGTATTTCATCAGCCAAGGACCCAGGAAGGTATGTGGGTTTGCATCTTTCGCGCTTCTTTTCCTTCCTTCCTTCCTTTCTTCCTTCCTTCCTTTCTTTTGAAAAATATTTATCGGCAAAAGGATTGTATGCCTGCTGACAGGTTGAAAAGGTGTGGGCGGAGGGAGAAAATGCCAGGGAGCAACGAAAGAACAAACCCTAAATGTTTGGGATGCAATACGTCAAAGCGGGAGAGGAAAGTAAGGGCTTGCCTGCTTTGCCTTTGAAATAAGTGGGATTTAATTCGTTAATTTGCATTGCCGGGGTTGGGCTAGATGACCCTTGGGGTCCCTACAGTTCTGTGGTTCTGATCAGGTGGGGTTTGAGTCTGACACGCTAGGGTAACTGCAAGCCCATTTTGACAAATTAGTCCTTTTCAAGCCCAAATAATCTACAGTCCTTGAGAACAGTTTTGACGACAAATTCCTTTGTGGAATGTAACCAATTCCTCCAAATGCATCACTGACCCACAGAAAAGGTTTAGCTAGAACAGCTGCTTTCTTGATGATGAATTCTTCACTCTGAACCATAACCAAATGTTATATATTCCCCCCCCCAAAAAAAATATATGCAAATAATATAAGAATAATACACACAGCAAATGCTGCAAATAGGACACTTCACTCAAATTACATTCCCTCACTCTCCCTGGAGCCAAAGCAGCCGAGCCATGACTTCCACGAAGCATATTTTATAATAGCTGTGAACCTGCTGCCTTGTGTGACTGATCATTCGGAATAAAAACAGATGTTGCAAGCATGCAGATAGGTCAGGCTTGTCACCACGAGGTCCCAGAGCAAGTTACAGCACTGTGAAAATATTAAAATCAGTTAAAACGATCTGCGGTGAGAAAAAATCAGGCTGGCTCCTAAATCTGCCTGCCTCTGCCTTTGACCAGGTTAAAGAGGTATGTCTTCAGCAGAGAACAAAAGCTCTGCAAGGTGTCTGGCAGACCTCTGTGGGGAGGGAATGCCACATCTTAGGGCTGCCACAGAAAATGGCCTCTCTTGGGATATCCACCCCACACTGAACTACCAAGAGGGCCCCCTTAGCCTCTCTGAAGACCCAAGAGGGGCTATAGATGGGGAGCTTTGCTGATAAGATTTACAGGCCCCCAGAATGGATGTGGTTAATTTGAGTTTAATCTGGAGAGTGCAAAGTGTCACTAAATTCTGGAGATAGGGAATCGTTCCCTCGCAGAGCCATTGGTGTAAAGGTCGCTCTGCAAAGTAAGAAGGCAACAGACCCCTGCCCCAAAGAGCTTACAATCTCAAATGTGACCCCCCCCCCGAGGAGACAACAGAGGAGGAGGGAGGGTGAAGTATTCGGGGGAAGGATAAGTGCTCAGTTCAGTTCGGAGTTCTTAGGCTTATTAATAATACAGTGGTACCTCGGGTTACAGACGCTTCAGGTTACAGACTCCGCTAGCCCAGAAATAGTACCTCGGGTTAAGAACTTTGCTTCAGAATGAGAACAGAAATTGTGCTACAGTGGCACGGCAGCAGCGGGAGGCCCCATTAGCTAAAGTGGTACCTCAGGTTAAGAACAGTTTCAGGTTAAGAACGGACCTCCAGAACGAATTAAGTTCTTAACCCAAGGTACCACTGTATTACATGTTTTTGTTGTGTTTTGCAAATTTATAAACCACTTCACAACCTGAGGCCACTGAAGCGGTGTGCATCGAGATAAAAATAAGATCAAACCCTTTTGGCAAACTCTAAAACATAATTTAAACCATTCCAACAAAACATAAAAGCATCCTACAGATGTACAATTAATATTTCATAGATGACCCAGTCACACCTCAGGAAAAGCCTTCTTAAAACCATCGCATCTTCTGTAGGCACCTAAAGATAATGACCCCCCCATGACGCCTCCTAAATTTCAGCTGGTAATTGAGTCCAGAGGCTTCGTTTCAGTAGGAGGTGAGGGATTTAATTTCTGCTCTGCCAGAAGGTTCCCATTTTGCCCGCCAGCAGCAGCCTAAACTCTGGTTTCTATCGCCACCTCCTCCCACACGGTGCCCTCCACATTCTGTTGATTTTCCACCCCCCATCATCTCTGACCGTTTGCCCCACTGACTGGGGCTGGTGGGAGTTCAAAATGTTCAGAGGTTCCAGAATGGGGGAAACGTGATCTAGTTGCAAGTCCCCTTTTCTTCATGGGTGCCAAGACCTCGCCCTGATTCTTAATATTGTATGGGCACATAATTTGCAAGGGAAATCTGTTCAAACACTTCCACACGCCCCTAGCAAAACGCCCAGATCAGAAACCTGCAACTGTGACTGAACGCAGACTCTGGAAAGGGGAATGTCTGGTGAAATTATATTGGCTTCACACCAGGTAGCAGAGCTGAACCTGGAAGCAAGACAGCTAAAGCAAAGGGAGACGGGAGAGGCATGGAACGGTGCCTTGCCGCAGCAAAAGAACGGGATGAGGAAACCCAACCAATGGTAAATAACCTTTGTGCTGTTTTTAATTCTCCTTTTGGGGCAGCCTTTGCCTGAGCGATGTGCGTATCTCAGCCTTCTGTAGCACCACCACTCCACTTAGACAAGTTATTATTGTGCTGGCAGAGTCTCTAGAAAGAATACTGTGCAATTCAGCTACCCGCACCTTTCAGCACACATTATCCGCATGATAATCCGCTTGCCTTCATCTAACGATCTGTGGTCTTGTCGCAATCGCCAGTTGTTGATTTTGCAAAAGGAGCTGGACCTGGAAACTCAACATTTTAGCACTCTTGACGCAATTTAATCTGGAATTGCCAACCTTCGTTCACTCTGTACAGGAAATCCAGATGGTATCAGCCTGCTGCATTTGGATTCTTCTGTGATGGCCCCATGTTTTTTCAGACCTTATTTGTTTTCACTGTTTTGTGATGCAGTGCTATTACATCACCGCCACGCCCTGTCCAGTGTGGACTCAAAAAGCACTATTGATGTTTTCCAGGGTGACTGTGCCTTTCGTTAGAAGTTTCCTTGTAGTTCCTACTTGCCTTTAATTAAATATTTCCTCCTTGCATTATGAAGCATAATAATATTGTCCAACTTACAAGGGGTTGTCCATTAAGGACTTTTGAGTGTCCTACAGAGCTATATAAATATTGAACATTATTATTATCTAACCAAAGTGAGTAGTCAGTTTTAAACATGACAGTGGGTTTGTTTGTTTGTCTGTCTGTCTGTCTGTTTGTTTGTTTGTTTGTTTTAAATAGATTTTGCTTTCATTGTTGGTTTTTGTGTGTGTGTGTCTTATAGTCTTCTAGACATCTTGCACTCTGTTGGTCAAAAAACATTGCTTCTGGGACAACAGAATGAGGGAGCTTCCTACAATTGTCAAAATCAGACTGGCTCTCCTAATAAGCAAGTGAGTTATAAATATCCCTCCAGGCCTTGACATTTTCTCCTAGCTTAATATTCATTTTCCAAAGCTGAGAAACCCCACACACCTTGGTCCTTCCCAACAGAAGCAGGAAGGTAAACGACGTTTCCGTGTGCTGCTCTGGTTTTGCCAGAAGCGGCTTAGTCATGACCCGGAAAAACTGTCTGCGGACAAACATCGGCTCCCTCGGCCAGTAAAGTGAGATGAGTGCTGCAACCCCAGAGTCGTTCGCGACTGGACTTAACTGTCAGGGGTCCTTTACCTTTTTCTTCTTAACTGTAAGTGTATTTTGCTGACACAGCCTTTGCCAACCTGCTGTCCTCCTGATGTTTTGGGCTCCTGTCAGATCCAGCCAGGCTTCTCTCTCTGGCCTTCAGGACTCTCCACAGGCCACACCCCCTTTCTGCGGGCCACACCCCTCAATGGCTGTGCTTCACACCCTTCTTGAGAGTTTTTGCTTGGCTGGGAATGTGTCCTTGGAACTCTGATAATGCCTCTTCCTTATCCAGAGGAAGGGCGTGTGAGCCTGTGTAGCAGCTACATAGCTTACTGTACAAAGGTATTTGCATCCATTGCTCCGCCCATGTTTGCATCTGCCCCCCCCCCCCCCGTTATGTGACCCTCAGGTGGTTTCCCAAAAAGGAACACAGCAGTCCTGAGGCTGAAAAGGTTTCCCTGCCCCAGATATTCGTTTTCCATGCAGTCAGGTTTTTACTTTTATTGACCCTGCAGCCCATGACTCCAAATGTCTCCTACGCAACTTTCTCTCTGTTTAGGTACTCCAGAGAGCCCTGGAAGAGATTCCCAGGTCCTCCTTCAGTGTAATTCAGTTTGCTTTGGATTCTCAGCATGCCACACCCAACCAGGTTTCAGAAACAGTTTCCAAGGTAAACAGCACTTCCCTATGTCCTTCCACAGGGGTGGCCAAAGCAAGACCCAAAGCAGGTGTGGGGAACCTTTATTATTATTCTTCAACAACTACCAGACTTTTAGAAGACATCTGAAGGCAGCCCTGTTTAGGGAAGCTTTTAATGTTTGATGTATTACGGTATTTTAATTTTTTGCTGGAAGCCGCCCAGAGTGGCTGGGGAAGCCCAGCCAGATGGGCGGGGTATAAATAATAAATTATTATTATTATTATTATTATTATTATTATTATTATTATTACTTCCAGATGTTGCTGAACTACAGCTCCCATCCATGCCAACAAGCAAGGCCAGAGGTGATGGGAGTTGTAGTTCAGTGGCATCCAAAGGGCCGAAGGTCCCCCAAAATCTGA